ACAAACGAACTGCTCACACCCCTTGTCAACAAAGTTGACTTTGCAAAAGCATTCGACTAGGCGATATGAGGGGTCCTCTTCGACACCCTTGATGTGTGAGGTTTCTCCAAGTGGATAGGTTGGGTTTCCCAAATCCTAACCTCCCATCGATCTGTGGTCCTACTTAATGGAATTCAGGGCAGTGTATGCTCTGTCGTTGGGGGAGTAGGCAAGGTGACCCTCTCTTTCCCTACTCGTTCATCCTCGTTGCAGATGTCTTCTAGCGTCTCATCTAGAAAAAATGTCAGGACGACCATATGCATCATCCCCTACGAGACGACATGCCTTGCCCCATCATCCAGTAGGTAGATGACACCCTTGTCGTCATCCAAGGGTCCCCATCTGTCATGTCTTGCCGGAGTCAAACTTTCGACCTTTTATAGAGTGCAATTGGGTTGCCAATCAACCTCAGGAAGAGCACCATGATATCCTTGCCAGCTCACCTTGATCCCCCAAAGCTACCTTGGGCTCCCTCTCTCCACCAACAAGCTTGGTAACTTCCGCCCCCTCATCGCCAAGGTGGACAAGTACCTCGCCAGCTAGAAAGCCCATCTGTTGTATTTGGCAGGGAGGTTAGTCCTGGTCAATGCGGTTTTTTCGAGTCTGGACCATTACTTTATGTTGAGCACACGAGTATACGGAAAAATTTGGCCTCCATTCCTGAACCTTTTCGCACTGAAGTTCATATAAACATTCACCATACACTTATTTGGCCATCAACAAGGTGTACTAGAGGTGTTATCTATGTTGAGAATGGATTCCACTATTAGAAAAAGGGCCTAATGTGAAGCTCATTAGTCCCGGTTTGTAATTGAACCGGCACTAATGTGATCTGTTTGACACGAGAAAAACATCTAAGGACTCCGGGGAGAAGGGAAGAAGGGAGTGTGTTTCTCTTAGACGCCGGGGAAAGAAAACTGTGTATGCGGGCGTGCCAGTGTACTATAGTACACAAAAGAAAAAGAAATACGGGAACATGTATTTCATTAATCTCAATGGATAAATAAAATTACAATATCCCAAAAAAAAAGGGTGCGCTCCGTGGCCTACTAGCACGGCCAAGCTGGCTGTGGCGATTGTGTGATCTCCTGGTTCCCGGGGCCTCGAAAAGCTCCCGGTTAATTACTCCCTCGGGTTGCTCCGCGGGATACCTCCGATTGAGCTGTGTGGTCGTCTTCGTCGTCTTCGCTTCGCGTTCTCCATGCATGATGATGGTGATGTGTGTGTGGACGGCGGCAGAGCCCGTGTCCTCGTCGGTACACGTGCCGCGTGTAGCGTAGCCTTTGCGGTGGCCACGCTCGCCCTTGCCGTCGTGCCTCGTCGGTCTTGGCGGCGTTGGAGGAGTTGTTGTTGGGGTAGCATGGATCACGCTCGGCTCGGACTTCTCGACGACCAGTAACTTCTCGGGGTGTACAAGGGTCTACACCCTGCGGGAGTAATTGTTGATGGAGACCGGCGTCAGTGTATAACCGTCGCGTTGCTCGCGCCAGCATGGCCTGAGTGGTCGACACCTCGTCCCGGTCAGACGCCGAGTCCACGGCAGTCGGTGTAGTCAAGGCATCGTCTCACGAGATCGTAGAGGAACGGTGTTGTTGTTGAAGTCGCGTCACCCTGCGGCCGCACCTTGTCCTCGGGCGGCGCCGACTTGCTCGGCTTCGGCTTCCGAATGAGTGTGGCGCCGGTAGCAGCGACACGGGGGTAGGAGGCTATCTAAATCATGGCATCGTGGTGTAGGACCTCAGCCTTCACTTCGCGTCCGGGCGCGGAGTGGACGTCGCCGTGCTCACATGTTCATCTTCAGAGCTCTACAGTAAGACGGGGTGGACAAGCAGGAGGTGGGGTGCTGCGCGTCTCCAACACCGAGCATGACGAAGTAGATGGTGTCGAACCACTTCATTGGCGTCGTCTTCGGGTGATAGCTCATGTGTAGCTTCTTCCATGCATTTCTTTTTGTGAATCTAATGAACGCGTACGTTGCCATCCAGCCAACATCCACGTACATGCATGGCCCATGTACGTGCACATGAGGTATAGTGTGCATACTAATTCGCCTACACCATTAGCGATAGTTTAGAGGCACTTAGTGGCACAAGGTGGTCTCTCGGTGATGGGAAGTCGGCCGTCGAACCGGATGCTCCTGCTGTGACGAGGGAAAGGTGGACCCGGCGAGGCGTCGGCTCAGAGGTAGGGCATTGTTTGCTTCCGTTACAACATTGGCTGCACCGTTGCTCGATGTTGCTGGTAGGTGCCGACGAAGAACCGCTGGCGAGTGCTTCGGCGATGTTACGGGTTGCACGATGTCTTCAACGCGTCCACCTCAAGGAGCCGCCGGCAAGTGCTCCGTCTTCACGGAAGAACGCACGGCGTGATAAGCGTGCTTCTTCTTGGATGATGTTTCTCTTGTGCGATGAAGCAGTCACGGGCTCCGTAGAACGGTGATGGCGACTTCAGTGCCATCGACCTCCACGCCATGGCGGCGGCTTGATAACATCGACAACGGGCGACGTCGTGGCATGCTCCACTTCGTCGTCTTCTGCTGCCTCATCATGATGAAGTAGATGTGAGGAGTGATGAGGCCCTCGGTGCCGTCGAGCTCCATGGAGTCACCGTGATGAAGGGGATGACATCTCGGCGACCTCCGTGTCGTCGGCTTCCATGGGGCCGGCTTGACGACATCGACGACAGGCTCTTCATGGCGTGCTCCATATCGTCGTCCTCCGCGGCACCCTCGTGATAAAGCGGTCGCGAGTGATGATAACGATCTCCGTGGCGTCCACCGTCTAGCGGTGATGAGCAGG